AAAAAAAGAAGAAAGAAGAACAGATTTTTTTTCATGGATTTTTAAAGAGGTAAATAACGTTTCTCTTGTAACAAAGTACGGTACATTGGATTTCTTAAGTAAGCGTGACATCCTGCTGTGCCAAAATGCACTATGACAAGGTTGAGCAGTTCTCCAAATAAGAGGCAACGGATGCTTCCTTCAAGCTGTTCATTTATCGTTCAAAGATCACCTTCACTGACAAACGAAAACATCGTAGATTTAAACATCCATATGTTCAACCACACCACATCATTTCTAACGCAAGTCCACGAGCTTAATGTTACAAGACCAGAACATACAATGTAAAACTTCGTCGCTGCTGGGTTGATGGATGGAATAATTGAGAGAATTATTGATTCTAAAAATGCTCAATAGCGACAGCTCTTTGTAGTAGTACTACTTTATACTACTAGTATCTGTGGCGTTACGGGTTATAGTATTCAAAGGCTATTTTTCAGTAATATTGAGGTTGAACTGTACCACCCTAGCAATGATTTTCAAAAGCGGCTGCTGTCTAATTAACAGTATAAACAGTGTAAAACGGTAGTCTAACAGTTTTTCTTACGAAACGAAGTTGACTCGAAAGCCAAATGGCCCGGAGGATTTCACTGCTTATTGTTCTTGTTGTTTCTCGAGATAATTGAGATCCTGCGGGAGCGCGGCGCTCAGAAAAGCGGCCGGGAGGTTGCCGTGTGAGTGTTGGAAGCCAATCCGCGGCTACGCTGCTTTTAGCGTAATGTGACATTTCCTGGGCCGCAGCCAGCACTTTTGGGAGACGCCTTCTAACAAGTGCGCGATGACGCTGGAGTTGGAAAGCTTGGCAAGCGAGTGCGGCCACATGCTACTACAAACACGGGTTTTTGACAGGCGGCTGTAATGAGCGCACGGTGAAAAGAAAAAGCCTCCTCGGCCGTGGCTGCGAGCCAGAGCCAAGTCAGCTGCTTCTGTGTTTACCCCAGGGCCTTGACACGGTGGCCCAGTTAGTACCTAGCAGGTTCCTTACACCGGGTTGGACCTCAGCCAATGCTGTGGCAGAAGGGGAAAGAAAAAAAATATGAACAAGATGCTTTTCAACCACCTGAAGCTAAATTGCTAGCATGCGCGCTTTCGTGAATCATCTTGCATGAATCAGTGAGTTCGTCTATATTCACCTCAGATCTTAGCCCTCTTCTTGGTCTAAAATCACGGTAAATGTCTCACGTTCTTCAGTCTGTCCACAAAACAAATTCAAAATGGCGATGAGCCAAATCTCCTGTTCGTCCTTGCTAATTGTGCATGGCAAAAAGACACCATTTTGTGAGGAATACAACACCGTACACATGGCAATGTTCTGCTGTTTGATTGCCTCCTTACGATGTAAAATTATGAAGATTTATTTGGGCAAGAAAAAGAGGCATAAAAATAAAAGATTACATTTGTAGAATTGAGGAGAGCTTAATGGGGGGGGGGTGTTGACAAAAAGATGTAACATTATGCTATGTAGTACTATCCCCCCCTCCCAAAAAAAATTACATTCTTGAGAGTGAAGTGTCATAATTTGAACCGGACAGTCATAATATTACAAGAATAAAGTCATATTGTTACGAAAAAGTCGTGCTGAAAATTAAAGTTGTAATCTCATGGAAAAAGTAATAGTATTGAGTATCAAGAATCGACTTTTTCACATAGCATTGCAACTTAAATAATGTTAACATTCCAACTTGATTTTCCCCACTCTTGAAATCTTCACATATTTTCATGTTTTTTTTTCTCATAGGCAACTGAAACCAGAAGTCATTTGAGTCACTTACGAGACACAAGTGTGGATCTATTTGAAGGCACAGCTGAAACACACCACTTTTGTTTTTTGCGTAACAAAAGCAATCGGGAAGTGTGGACTTGCACAGGTCTGGTTCATCCTTGGGTGCAATTTCCAGATGTCTGAAGGTGCCACGTTCATCTGTTCAAACAACTAAACACCATGGGAATGTCTAGCCATCAAAGTGCTCAGGAAGGAGATGGGTTCTGTGTCCCTGAGACGAACGGGCTTTGGTCTGAAATGTGAATACCAATCCAAGAACAAAAACAAAAGACCCCCGTGAAGACACTGGCTGAAACTGATAAGCGAGTGTCATTATTCACAGTGAAACAAATACTGGAGCACTCTGCTAGCAAGAAGCCATTACTCCAAAAGAAACATAAAAAAAAAAAAAAAAAAAAACCAAAAAACATTACGGTTTGAAAAATGCACACAGGGATAAAGCCCTTCACTTTTGGAGACATGTCCTATTGAACTGTTTGTCTATAATACGCATCGTTACGTTTGGAGGAAAAAAGGAGGCGCATGTATGCCTTGAGGAGACCAAATTCAACGATGGAATGTTGGCAGCATCATGTTTGCTGCAAGAGGGACCGGTGCATTTCACAAAACCATGAGGAAAGAACATTATGTGGAAATACGGAAGCATTGATTAAGACGGTCCAAACACGGAGCCAGCGGCAGCTCGCCACTTCAAAGTCTGCGGTCATATCGACTATCCCTCCCACCCACAAAAAGCCTTTTATAAAATGTCACAAAAGCAAACACCTGTCCTACGACATCTTCACAAACACTTTGCGAAAGGTCTCGAGCCACAAGTGATGCAATAAATAAAACAATGAGCCCACTCAGCCAGTGAGTTAATAAGCGCGTATTCCCATGAAACTTACAGTATCTCCATGACTCACGAGGATCCTTCTGCAATGATGTATCACGGCACTCGATTTAAAAAAAAAAAAAAAAAAAAAAGAGCCAATTCCAATGTATAAAACTTTACATTTCCTAAAGACATGAAAGAGAGGCCACGATTATGCCACACAGCTTCCGCAGAAGGAGGAAATGGAAATTGTTTCGCAACACTTCTCAAACATTAGTGGCGTTCAAGAGCGGCAACGTCTTTGATTTCAAGTTACTTTCACCGCTTTAAATTGGTGAATAATGCGTAAAAATAGCAAATGAAGTATCCTTTTTTGGAAAAAAAAAAAAAAAAAGAAAAATTTGACCACATTTTTCAACATTAATGTTGTCTTAGTAACAGATAATTACGAACTTTGTCATAATTACATGAAAGATTTACAAAAATAAAGTTTGAATATTGAAGGGGAATTTGTATTATCTTTTTTCCCCAATTTTTTTTTTTTTGCATTTCGGTCACTACTTGCATGCACGAATGATATTTTATCTCTTTTTCCCATTTCTGCAGTTTAAAAAAATATTGGTGAAGCTTTGGCTACATAAACATGCCTAATGTCACACTGTATATTTAAAATACAATGTGCAAAATACGCAAAGTAGGAGGTATTCCATTTCAAAAGCAGGTAAAGACTTGCTGCGTATGTAAATATAAAAGGTGGTTAGCACACAAACTGTATTGTGCCAAGGGTCAGCTTGGCTGCAGGGATAGCCTATAATACACGCGTCCATTTGTATAGTGTGTCGCGATACAAAGCCAGGCAGACTTTGCTCAATGCACACTGATATGACCTTGGGGCTCTATTGGCCCGCAGCTGCCGAGCCGCCGTTGTAGTCGTTTCATTGCATTATACACTTCGTTCTCTCTGTTTGCCTTCATTAAAGAGCAGGTGTTGAGATATGTTAAATGGGAGGGGCTCGGAGGGACCAATAGGACGCCACCATGCTTCAGGGGAAGTGGTAGTGGGGTGTGGGTGGTGCTGGGGGAGAGGTTTGCTCATGTTTTTTTGCTAGCGGGCGACCGATCAAATTACAGCAGGCATCGGTAGCTTAGTTTCCATTAGGAGGCGAGGAAGTTAATCCTCGGGGGTCGATTTAGATGGGAGGGAGGGGAAAAAAAACTGACAATAAGCAGACAGGCATTGTTTTGTTTTTTTTGGTCTTTCACTTCCATTAATACAATAGACCAGTGATTCCCCGCGAATGTGTCAGAGCACTGTCATGTGATGTCGGTGAGACTACATCAGGTCTGCTGTGGAAAATGATCACGATTGACTTACTTGGTCTGAAAATGATCATTTACTGCAAACAATGTATTTTTGTCCATCAACTATAGCTACCTCCGGTGACGTATAGAGACAGGAGAGCAATTAAATACTGTGTCCAAATGTGTCATTCATACAATATACACTACTCACAAAATGTCTTGAAGAGACAAAAAATATATATATATATATATATATATATATATATATATAAACTTCAGGTGAACCTAATTTGACCTTTGAACACAAGAAACCCCAATATACCAAATGACTATGCGGCGAATATAGTCGCATTAGTATAAACATCAGTGCAAAGAAAAATCATCTGATGAAGAGTGATTTCTAAAACATGAGTGGATGTTATTCTCAAGAAATTACGGTGTCGTTACTTTTTCCTTCCTAACTAGCTGACGCACAACTGACGCACTCAATCCCATCTGGTATGATAGAGTGTGGTTCATTGATCGTAAAGTTTGTGGGGGCATGACAGCTTGGTCGGCATGTTGAAAGTGGACAGTGTGAACAGTCTTAAGGCAGCAGATGTGTCCGATGGGAGTTGGACCGTCCCCCCGAACAAAAAACAAAAAAAAAAAGGTGTCTTTGCTTGCACCAGCAGGCCCTCACACCAGCTCCTCCCATCCAGGCCCTTTGGCTTCTTTCTTTTACTGCTCCCATGACACTGATGAAGGGGGTTGAAATGAATTGAAAGATCACCAATCAGAGGCCAACTACAACACGGCCGAGCAAACACCCGCCGTCAAGCCCTCCTACCCCCATTCGCTCGTCTCTTGTTGGGAGCCCCCTGTGGGAATGTTCACTGTTTGAAGAGTTAACTCTTTAATTCCGTCTGGAATGTTTCCTCTGGGTGGGGCAGTGTGGTGCGTTGAGCCAGACCGCTAACCCCTCTCCTCCCCCCTTCATCTGCCTACTAAATTCAATACCTCTATTTCTGGCCGGGGAGGTGGGGTGGTCTTCCACATGTAGGTGTTAAGAGCAGGTCAGCACAAAGTGAGGTTTGTATTGGTGTGTGCCACGTGATTAGTCCCGATACAATCATTGAGATCGATCTGAAAAAGCCGTTTCGTCGCCCACTGTGACATTTTCACGGGTCTGCGATTCACATCTTTTATGCAAAACATAATTACAATGTGATGCTGTCAAGTAGAGCTACTGTAAATGGTCCAAAAATATGCATACCGGGAAGATGGCGCATTTGTTGTCATATTATGGAAATGATCAGGTCCACATTCTGATCAACCGTTTGGTTGGAATTCCAAATCGTAGGACAGTTACAGGCATTCAACCCAGCCGCTGGGGGGCAGTGCCCTCCCCTGGGGGTGCACTGTTCCCCAGTGCCGGTCCCAAGCTCGGAGAAATGGGGAGGGTTGCGTCAGGAATGGCATCCGGCGTAAAACTTTTGCCAAGACGACCATGCGAGTTGGTAGGACGGTTTACAGGGGCGGATGGAAATTACTGACTCGCTGTGGCGACCCCTGAATAGGGATGTGCCGAAAGGAGAAGAAGAAACGCATTTTCAGCCCGAGCAGAGCACGTTTTCTGCGTTTGAATATTTCACACTCCTCAAATTCTGTTGAGCCACAAGAGGTAGGAGGAAGGTGACGAGTCAAATTCTCAACTTTTGCATCAGATTTTCACCCTGAGTCATGCGGCTTTTTCGATGTTTTCAAGTGTGGCGAAAAAAGCCAATCAAAAGCAAAACAGAGTGAATCATTTGATACTTGCTGAGCTGAGGGCTCATGAAAAACGGTGACGTCCATTTAAATTCAGTACTCTTATTCTGAAAGGTTCTAGGCAAATTCCAAAATGTGAGACAATGAAATGTATTTATTATTTATTATTTATAAATTCTGCCTTGCAACAAATGCCGGTGCAAGACACAATGGCTCAAATTTGAAGCTTGGTGTGACTCTAGCGTCATATTTTTGAGGCAAATTTTGGTCACAATTTAGAATAGTACAACTTGCTGAATCGTACATTGTCTTCAATAAATGCTACTATTCAATAAATAACATGTTGCGGGTACTATTTTGTGATGAAAATAATTTTTCCTGTACTTTTTTTTATGACCACATCAAACACAACCTGAACGTGGGTGCTATTAGATTAGAGATCGGATGGTAGCGGATGCGGTGGCAGAAATTTCACTGACATGTGCAACAGCTTTCTGCCAACAAGACACGTGACAGTGCTAAATATAAACTAGCTTTAGTACTCAAACACACACGGCGTTAGCACTGAACGTCCGCAGAGTAAACGAGATTGTGTCAGCTGTAGGGCTGGGCGGGGGGCGTATATAGACAAAAACAGGCTGGCAAAATTTTTGTCCCAAAGCTTCGACTGCGTTACGTCATAGTCCATTGGGTACTGTCCCTAAGTGGGAGACTTGACATTTTTGTAGCATGTTAGGTGCAGAAAAATCATAGCGCGTGTGTTCCGTGTTAAAATGCTGCTCCTGGCGCTCCAAATTCCCATTCTTTGACTATGCCAAAGGTAAAATTCTACCCAGCAACTGTGCAGGAAGTATATGATCCCTCAAACTGTTTTGTACAACTGGAGCAACATACTTTTGTCCCAAATTTTGATCAAATTCCAAACTGTACAACCACATCAGCATTCGACCTGGTATCAAATTTCTCCACTCCACAAAATTCTACCAAGCAACAAATAGCCAAGGTCGTATGCGATAGCTCGTACCCGAGGTTTTGTGCAACTGGAATCATATTTTTGTCCTAAAATTCAAGCTCAAATTCGGAATTGCACCTCCTTTTCAAAGAATCGGTATCATTGGAACTATGATATCAACAGCTTAGTCCGGCAAGGAAGGCCACTTAAACATTATCAGACTCAACTCCAAGCGGATACATATCGTGAGGCCGAATCATTTTTTACCACTTATGTAGTTATTAAACGCAATGATCGTATTAAATTGAGTTTAATGCTCAAATATAGCCCATCGCTACTGGAAACTGGAAAACAAAATAGAATTAGATGTTGCTAATTGGCGCGGCTCTGCATTTCCGTCCTGGCAGAAATTTAACATGCGGCCATTACGGTCAGGCAGCATTAGGCACAAAGCCACATTCATCAGCAGCAAAAAGAAAAAAAATGTCAATCGCGGGGGGCAGCGAGAGAGAGAATTGGGAGCTGAGGCGCCTCCATTCACAGGATGTGGGGGAGGGGTCATGCAGCAGTGAATCTCAACCTAGACCAAGTAAATAATAATAATAATGATAGTAAACAGCTCCAGTTATCTTGATACTGTACAAGCAGTTTATAGATGAATGTGAAGTCTGCAGTGAACTTTCCACCGAGCAAAAAGAAAAAAAATGTCAATCGCGGGGGGCAGCGAGAGAGAGAATTGGGAGCTGAGGCGCCTCCATTCACAGGATGTGGGGGAGGGGTCATGCAGCAGTGAATCTCAACCTAGACCAAGTAAATAATAATAATAATGATAGTAAACAGCTCCAGTTATCTTGATACTGTACAAGCAGTTTATAGATGAATGTGAAGTCTGCAGTGAACTTTCCACCCTGTCACACTCGAGTGTGAAGGGAGAGGGTGGGCAGGGCTTAAAAAAAAAAAAATCCAGCAGTGACAAACGATGGCGGCTGACAAGCACAAACAGCAGCATTAAACTCATGAGCCGCTCCCGGGGGCTGACGAGAATAAATCAGTGTGAAACCAGAGCCACCGTAATGGAGTCAATGAGTCACGCCAGCTGAGTTGCCATTTTGCCATCTTAATGCAA